AATATACATATGCTCCTTGATAATTGCACAAATGCTAATTTACCTCCAACCTTTTGAGATTTAAATAAAATAATTATATTTAGCTATTACAGCTTAAAAATAACATCATTCTAGCCTAATGCAAATTTGATTACGGTAGATTTATGCAGTGGCGATATAAATAAATAAATATAGTTGTGTGCGATTTTAAAAGCCATTTTACCATATCCTAGTTAACGTAACTGGGCTCGCCAATTCGGATAACGTAGGAATCATTAATTAGCATATAGTACTTGTGTGTTTTAATTACTTTAGCAACTATCGGCTTACCTGTAAGAAACGGTAATGCAGTTGATTTAAGTCACCTCGACTCCTATGTCTGGCCTTGGCTTATATGTGTTGATAATATAATAATTGCAAATTTTCTCTACAAAGATATGCATAGCACATAAAATTTTAATAGGCAACCTAACTCAGATGAATAACCAGAAGATTATAAATCAAATGGCAGCTGCACCCAATAATCAAGCACGTTTTTATTGTTAATCAAAGTATACCCTACAAAACTCATTAAGCAATAGCAATTTAGTAATGTGGCATTCATAAATTTTACATGAACTTGCATAATCTTAAAAAAATTCATATGTATATATGTATATGTTTATGTAATATAATTATCTACAAACGATGCAATTAATGATAGGTCTTAGGTTTCTCTGATTTTGCTTTCTGAAAAATGTTATAATACGAAAGCTTTATCAGCTTTTAAGAATAAATGAAATGAAAATACCTTTTTTTGACAATACAAAATTAAATTGAATAAATACCAAGACATTTTACTTACGTGACCGACCAGAACCAAATATCCGTTTTGAGTTGGTTTCTAGGCACAATGCAAACTGAAGGGGCATCAATAGCGGATTTCCCGATAGGATTTAAAACTATAGTAATGTATTTAAATTCTTTAATTACCAACATTCATGGCATTAATAACTTCCGATTTATTGCACGAGGATGGAGCACAAACTCCGATGTTTAACATCAAGATGCTATTGTTTAACAAAGGAACTTTGATGGTACAATAATGGCCTTGGTTTTCGCTTGTATAATTTTGGAAATAAACTTGCTGACACTGTTCGTAACTGCCAGGCCAATTAATTCCGCCATGCGTGATTGCCGGTGTTGGCTTACCCATTGCATCAAGCCCTGCAAGAAAAAAACATAAATAAAAAATATAGTCAACATTGCAGCGCCCAGTCTTCCGTATTTCTAATTCCATTAAAAATAGTAGTGAGATCATCTTTGCATAACTCGCTAACGTCTATATCAAAATCTGGCAAAATATCGTTGTTCAGGGCTTTTCCAAAATACTTAGCACTAAAAGAAGATTTAATTTCCAGCAAGGTCAAATGGAGTTCAGATAAATCTTTTTCATGGAGTAATGATGCATATAGACTAGATGCGTCTAGAAACGAAAATCCCAAACCAAACAATGGCTGAATTGACAAGATAAGTAATACTAGCACTAGTTCCATTTAGGATGGGCAGAATAACACTTAACTATAGCGGGTAATCAAAGATGTATATGATCAAAGGGAAAAAAGCAGCAAATAAATATGTGAATTAATGATTAAAATTATGAGTGCAAATAACGAGTAAAATTATAATTAAATATAACTTCAGTCTTTACACTTTACAAAATTTATTATGCGTCAGGATATATTTAGAATTTGCTGTAAACCTAAACGTAAACTCAATAAATAAGCTCATTAGTAAATAAATACAAGTCATTTTTTTTTGTTTTTGATGTACTGCTTTTTATTTTATGCTTTACACTAGGTCTTTTTTTCTATGAATTGAGTAATCAGTAATGTAATCAAGTGATATGGCACATACTATTTTGCTTCATTTGTGGCAAAGGCCATTATGGAAATATGGCGTAATGAGTAACGTATCTAGATTATGTGCTGAACTATCATACTTTGGCTTCCACCTGCGTGCTGATGAGATCTATTCGGTTGTAAAGCTGTAAGTCTATGTGCGGCTATGTGAAATTCAATGGATACGTAAAGCCTATTTATATCGATATTGAAAATTTCGGTCCCAATACTTTATCATCTTAAATGTATTAGACGGTATAGATCTCTTATGTAAAAACGTTAGCCTCATTTTACGATATGTTTTACAAGGTTTAAGGTCAACTGGATAGCTATTCCTATAGAACCTAATTAAAACTTTAGAGTATTTTGATATATCTGTCAAAAAGCCGTTTCAAATGCCTTAAGTATTTAATTTTTTAGCGCTATAAATCCATTTAAGGCAAAAAGGCTACATTTATATAGATGGTACGAATTTATCCATATGAGAAGGGGCCTTCTTTGCCAGTCTAACTGACTAGTTGGAGATTAAGCCTTAGCTTATACAGATACATTTGATTTAGTGATTAAAATGAGACATCAAAAGTTTGAATAAATTAATAAGAAGCATTGCAATAAAGAATCAAAATAGAATCACTTAAGTTATGGTTAAGAAATTATCCACTTGGTCAAGAAGTTACATTGAAAATAAAGAAATTTATATCATTCGTATAATTAATGTCGAGATAGGAATCAGTTCTCAAGAAGTTAGAATGATTTCACTGAACTATTCCATTAATAATAATACCATACGTGGATTGAGTGGATGCCATAAAACTTATGAACCTTCTTTGTGCACTAACGCGCTTTCTCAAACGTTGCTCGTTAATCCCTTTACTACATCAACCTCATAGTACCCTATAAACACTAATTAAGTTTTGTAGACTTGAACTTGATAGTTAGCAAGTCTTCAATGCCATATCTGAAACAGGATGATTCTGTTTGGGGAAAATAAGCCAAATTGAAAAGTGCAAAACCTCCAGCTCTTTCGTAAGCTACTTTGCTGGCTACACCTTTGTCAGAGTCGTGTAAATCTGTGGGAGGTAAGCACGTTATAAATGGTACTCCGAATCATTGCTCTGGCCCAGCACTACCAAGTTATTTATCTCCTTTGTACTTATATATATTTAATTATATACCACCTCTTATAAAAGAATAAACGGGGTGCCCTAAAGTTAGAAAACAAATGTGACTCGGCAAAAGTTTAAATGCTATTTTTAAAGTAATCGATACTAACAGAGGAAGGCTATGGCGTTTCGTTCAGTTCCCCATTATGGTTGTTTTGATGAATTGATAGCCTTTAAAACATTTCTTAAGCCTAAAGTTTTTCATGCATGAACAAGCCAAGCAAATCTAGAGTCTAAAATTTAAATTGTAAACTTTCGCCAGGCAGAAAACTAAAGCAGATTGCATCTCGGCTTTGATTTATCATTCGGTTCTGGCTTAAGACAAAAATCACAATACCAAAATGAGAACGAGCTTTATAGCTACCTGTTTGCGCATCTAAAGAATTTTGCCAGCTCTTGAGATTATTTGAATTTAATGTTATCGAGCAACACAACGTTCATGATCATACGCAAGTCTGTTCGCAATAGTCGATGGGTGGCAGCCTAGGCGAACCAGATAAATTTGCTATTTTTTGTAAGAAATGTCATCTATGCTATAATATCTTTATCAGCTCAGTGGTAAAACCCATAAGAACTGGTTCATTTCCACTCAGCCATTTTGTGATTTCTGCCGAAATAGGGCTTTAACTCTTATTTATGAGAGGTAACAACATGATCCCAGTGACGAAAGTAAAGTTTAAAAATTGAACAATGAAGCTGTTTTAATATTTGGCTTCAGTCGATCACTAGTTTACGTCAACATTTGGCATTATGGGCGAACTCTGTGAGCCATTACGTCAATAAAGACAAAACTGTTGGTCGACTTTGTCTCCGAAACAATCGCCTTCGATTTTAATGAAAATGTGTTAGGATTTCGTTTCGCGTATTTTAGATTTCATCAGAACAGAGAATACTTTATGCAATTACTTCTAGAGGAATAGTCAAGCTAACTGAGGTTTCGTTTATAAGTATGGTTTCAAACTATCAGTAAATCTTTTATGCGAGATATATTCATCCTATTTCGTTTAAGGTAATGAAGGACTGGTAATTGAATTTTCCTACAATGATATTAATAGAGCTGACATTTCCTTTTAATTTCACATAGCCTTGCTTTCCAGAAGACGTTCTCCTCCACCATGGATCTCAGTTTAGACTTCGCCTAGGTCTTATCAAGAGCCCCAAATGGAGTTGGACCATGAAGGTGCAGCGTGTAACTTCAGTCCTCCCTGGATGGGATGGATAAGAAAGCAAGGCAATGCTAAGAAGTAATTTTAACCTTGTTTTCGCAACTTAATCGTAGTGGCAGGAAGACCTACAGGAGCGCACCTAGTCTGGTGTCTATAGTGTGCATGATAATTTCCAGAGTCGGACCATAGACATGTTACATTCCCAGATTTTTCGCCGGCATCGTCAGTGAGCCTTGCCAGTCTTAACACCACACCACAACTCGTCAAGAGACAAGTAAAGTCGATCATTTGACCAATTTTTTGCTAAACAATTGTGGTATATCTCCTCTTGCCCTGGGCTATTTACCAATAATATATCCTTGTACCAAAACTTCCCTATCAAAATGTGTTATTTGAATATGATATGGTATGAAATTATAAACGGATTTCATGCGAACTCTTCACACCACATTCTGGCCTTATCATACCCTCATCTAACTTCCCCTTGTGCTGGCAATGTTGATCAGAGTCCGCCATATTATTCCGCAATCTTCTTTCTACAAGTCTTATGAGAGTCTCCTTCTTGCCCCATAGGATCCGCCTCCTAAACTTCTGGTTCAGGTCTTTCACTCGACCCCTGCCGCCATTTCTGTACTATTCGAAGCGTTATTTCATACACTATCTCAAATCTTTGATGACAGGCGTACTCCGTCTCGCTGAGTAGACCCATAAAAACAGGATTCTCAAGCTAAATGAGAGGCTAAACTGAGACCAAAGCTCTGAGTAATTCTCATAGTCAAGCCTTTACTTCATGGACCACGTCTATGATCAAGCACGTCTACTATTAGCCAGCTACCTATAGTCTCCGCCACATTTATCGTGCTTCTATCTATAGTGTCAAGTCTATGACTTCATATGGTCTAGTCTCTTGTATGCCAGCCCACGGATGGTGTGGTTCTACATAGAACCTAATAAAAACAAGTAGAACTACAGCATTTGTGGGTTTGCACACAAAAGACTAAGGCACATGAAGTCATATATTTGGCACTATGGACAGAAGCACGATAAGTGCGGCGGAGACTAGAGCTAGTTGGCTAAGAGTAGACGTGGTTAATCATGGACGTGCTCCATGAAGCAAAGCTTTGTCCATGATAATTAATCGGGATCTTTAGTCTCAGGTTAGTCTCCCATCTAGTTTGAGAATCCTGATTTTTAGGGGCAATTAAAGGCTGGATGCAGTATGGGAATTAACGCATAGAGTAGTACAGAAAGGATGACAGGGGTCAAGTGAAAGACTTGAACCAGAAAGGTAGGGAGAGGATACTACGGGTCAAGAGGTAGACTCTGTTAAGACCTATGGTAAGTAAATTGCGTGGTGAGGAGTTGAGTAGGCCAGCGTAGGGTTTGGAGAGTTCTCATAAAATCCGCTAAAAAGTACACAGCATACTACATTTAAATAAGAAAGTGTAAAAGTAAAGGGATCTTACGAGTATATGGGATTGAGGAATAGCCCAGGGCAGAAGGAGTGATATCACAATTGTTTAGCAGACAATGGATCAAAGGATCGACTTGACCTGTTTCTTTGACGAGTTGTGGTGTATTGCTAAGACTGGCAAGGCTCACTGACGATGCCGGCGAAACGTCTGAGAGTGTAGCACGTCAACGGTCTGACCTTGGAAGTCATCATGCCTACTATGAACTCCGGAGTAGGTGCGTTCGTCTAGGTCTTCCTACTAATAGTATTAAGTTGCGAAGACAAGGTCAAACAACTTCTATGCAACGAAGGAAGTCTGCAACCATACAAAAGGTCACACCATCTTGGTCTTCATACCTTCGGTCAATGCTATGCTAAATTTATTGTAAAGACCAAAATAATGTGGCTTGTTGTGTGGTCGCAGTCTCCTTTCGTTGTTTAGAAGTAGTTTGACCTTGTTTTCGCAACTTGCTCATATTGGTAGTAAGACTTAGAGGAACGCACCTAGTCCGGAGTCCATTGTATGCATGATCATTTCCAAAGTCGGACTGTGGAGGTGGTACATTCCCAGACGTTTCGCCGGCAACGCCAGTGAGTTTTGCCATTCTTAGCACCATACCACAACTCGTCAAAGAGACAAGTGAAGCCGATACTTTGACCAATTGTCTGCTAAACAATCGTGGTATCTCTCCTTTCCCCCTGAGCTAATCACCAATCCCATATCCTCGTATCATGCCTTCAATATCACACTTTTTTGCTTTCTTATTTAAATGTGATATGGCGGCCCCTTTTGAGCGACTTTAATGAGGACTTTCCACACTCCACGCTGGCGTTCTCACTCCTCCTTCACCCTTGTGTTGGGAATGTTGATCC